CTACGCCGCAACACTGGGTCCCTGCGCATGCATGATCAAAATCAATTGAAAGTCACTAATATAGTCCGATTTTCAATAAGTACTGCTCTATTTTTTCTGCTCTGCAAAGATGCTTGATCTTCGTTCAAAAAATTACCCACACGCTCAAAAACTTTGAGAAGAAGTGCCTCACAAATGCTGCCCGGGATTGAAAATAATAAAAACAAACTCCCGTCATGACTTACGTACTCTATTATTTACATTTTGAATGTTTTTAATCGTAAAAATGCAAGACGGGGCCATTTTCATGTAATAACAGGACTGCCTGTTAGCAATATATAAGCGGCAACGGAATTCTGGCGAGCCTTGAACACTATATTCCTTTCGATTGATATTTTGCTTAGAATCGCCGCTTCTTTTTACACACCTTCTGTGGAACAGGGGCTTGGGCCTGAAATATAACGAGGTTAAACATTGTTCTCTGATGAAGAAAAATTTTTTAACTAAAGTAACAGCCCTTTTACAATGTTAATAAAGACACATACTATTTCGTACGATCCAAATAACAAAATTGTTCGATGCTATTTTCCGGCGAAGAGACAAAATGTACAGGCGTTTTCCCGTAGGAATGCACAGGAACACCGCAAAAGTAGAATGGTTGCTGTCTGCTTCAGTTTGCCTCCCCAATGGCGCATAGACACTAGCGCCAGTTGAACCTCTAGCGTACATTATAATAACTCTATGGCCGCAAGAGTGTTTAAATAGGGCCAGACCAGGCATGACGTCATGCCCAGCGACGCCGGGAAAAGAACCCATCCCAGGCTGCCTTGCGCACTGAAGAGTTCTCATCCAACCCAAATCTAACCAAGCTCTCATCGTCTGCTCGCTGCTTGGTCGACTGCGTAAGGCTTAGGCTACGCCTGCTCCGTGTGCTAAAACGTAGAAATGAAGTCTACTTTCTACTTTCTTTTTATGATTGAGCCGAAACTACGCCCCCGCGTTCTTTCTTCAACCTGCTTTTATGTTGTCGTTTTTTGGTTTTTCTTTGTTTTGTTTACTAGACGGTCGAACCATCGCATATCTTGCTTTGACTTGTTTGGGTTAGTTTTTTTCTTTTTTCCCTTTGCTACTTCTGCCGGTTCGTCTGCTACTCTATAGCCGCGTCTACATGAATGCGACTTAGTCGCATCGAATCCAGTTGTGGCATTCGATGCGGTCATGTAAACGGCATAATGCGCTAGAAAAGCGAATCGCATTCAAGTCGTCAGACAGAGGTGGACCGAGACGGCGAATGCGCATTCATTTCGCCCATGTAAACGGAGGTCGCATCGAATTTCGGAACGGGGAGGATTATGGGAAGGCGCTCGCTGCGGGAGCGAGTGAACAGCTGAAAACATGGCGGTGGCTAACTTCGTCGGCGGCGGCGGAGAGCAGTTCCGTGTGGTCGCCCGCAGTTTCTCCCCAAAAGAAACGCGAGCTGTTATTGCCAGACTAAATGAGCGGAATATCACTGAGCTGCTCGGAAAGGGCGGCTCCCGTCCAATTCTTGCGAAATACGACTTGCGTGTCTAATGGAGTGCCTAGAGGCTTCGACGCAAGCACGAACGACGCCGAGAGCTCCGAGCACTGCATGGTAGCGCAGAACTAGCAGCTCCTACCTTGGTGCCGTTCCTGGCTGCGCCGGATCTTTTCGGTCTCAGGGTCCGGTCGCAGTTGGCAAGGTATGGCAAGGCGAAGCCCGGTGGCGTCCTCAGAGCGGTTGGAAACGATCTTGCTCGCCAGGCCGTGCGCACGCACGTCGCCTCTGATCCAGAGTGGCCCAGCGGCCCGAACCGGAGCCCAAAACGCTGGGGTTTTGATGTTTCTTCCATCTCGTAACTCCTTGTACAGCAGGCGCGATCTTTAGTTTAAACTCGCCGAAAGCGTCTAAAGGGCTTCATGTGCGATGCACCGGAAACGCGGTCACGTGGTGCGGCTGGTGCCGGAAACGCAGCTTTAACTTTGATCTTTGACACGGCGTGGCGCTACCTTCGCGTAGGGCTTGGGGCGCATTCGTGTAAACGTTGCCGCGTCGGCTTTTTTCTGCCTGTACCAAGCTGTTTTGACTGTGTCGAAAATGCCTTTGCGACATATGGGGTGCCTGAGCGCCAGAGGGGCTCGCTCGTGCGACCTTATTTTACGGAATGCATGCGGCCGCTGGTGAATAGGCTGCCTGTCGGCGAAGCGAGTGATAACGGTGCGGTTAAGGAGCGAGTTCTCTTGAAACTCAAACTGTCGCCGGCTGAGTACAGGGGGCTTTTTCTCAAAGCCACTAGAATGGAGAACAAATCCTGGACTCAGTTTGCGACACGGGTCGAGAGCTGTTTTCAGTATTATGCTCGAAGTCGCTCGATCTACCCTCTTGAGGACTTGCAAGCATTAATGGTATTTGACCGCATTAGAGATTCCTTGCCCGTCGACTTGCAGACCCATGTAACACTAAATGACACTGGAAAATGGCTTAAACCAGCAGAGGTGACTGCGCTCGCTTACCGTTTCGACGAGGGCGAACGATGCAAAAAGCGAGATCACCCGTCAAGGTCTAAGAGCCGCGTATACAACGCAACAAAGGCCACTTCTCTCGAGGAGAAACACGAGAACCCAAGGCAGGGCACTAAACCAAACCTGACGGTTCCCGGGTGAAGTGTTTCAGCTGCAAGGGAATGGGACACTTTTCTCGTGACTGTCCACGGAAGAAGGAAGATGGAGGACAAAGAAATGACTCCGTGGTGGGTAAAATCTCAACAAATTTGACACCACCTCAGTAGGGTATGTCCCAGGGCATAAATGTCAGTCAGAACAGTACGCGCGCTGAGTGGCTGAGAGTGGAGGTGAAATGCGCCCCGACGATGGTGCAGGCGGTTATTGAATCTGGACCGAAGATTAGCGTAGTGCGTGATGGGGTGGCGCCTGAAGTGAAGGGGTCGTCCGGGTGGGTGACACTGACTGGGCGCTTGGGGACAGCGTGAGCGCCGTTCTACGCCATATAACGATGACTCTTCCCACAAGCTACGTTGTAGTGCGTCCTTCAAGAGGTGCCGCTCTTGTGCGCCGTCACTGAACAACTGGTTAACGGCATAGACATGCTGTTGACGCCCGATGACTACGACAGCCTAAAATTGGCTAGCGGGAGGGCTGATTTGGAACCGATGGTTCGTGAAGCTGAAGACGCGCTTACTGAAGAAGGTGGTGAGGTCACAGACGACGGCCGTGGCGTCCAGCTTGAGCTTCTGCAAGAACAACCTGCAAAAGGACTAACCGCGCGTGGTGGCCTTCGTGGACAGGGACCAGTAGGCGCTCCAGGTGGTGCTGACGGCCTTCCACGAAATCCGGCTGAAGATGCTGGCCACCACCTTCGATGGAGTAGGGGGCCGCGACGTCGACATGGTGGTGGTGCGCTACTTCGTCCCGGTGTTCAAGGAGCGCTACATGCTGGACATGGCCACCAACTGGCGCGCCCTCACGCGCCTCATCACCGAGTGCGAGACTCAAGAAGCAGATAAGTGCCGACCCGCACGACTTGTCCCTCATAATCGAGTGCTTCAAGAACGACCGGGACGTTTCGGGCCAGATGAAGCGGGAGGCCTTCAAGGCCATGTCCCCTGAGCGGCTAGCACGTGCATAGCGCACCATGGCGGGGGCGCTGACGGTGGCCGGGCTGCGGCCGACGGACGTGAAGTCGGTGGAGCTGGTCGGGGGCGGCACCCGGGTGCCGGCGGTCAACCAGCTTGTCCGCAAGGTGTTCCAGCAGGAGCCCTCGACGACACTGAGCCAGCACGAGGCGATGGCCCGGGGCTACGCCCTGCAGTGTGCCATGCTGCCACCCACCTTCAAGATGCGAGACTGCGATGGTGGACGCCCAGCCCTACCCCATCGAGCTGTGCCACAACCCGGGCAAGGGAAAGGACAGCCGAGCAGAGGTGTTTTCCCGCTGGCACCGGCTGCCCTTCAGCAAGGTGCTCACCTTCAACCAAAGCAAGCCCTTCAACCTCGAGGCCAGGCACCTGCAGGAGGCGGCGGTGCCCCACCCGGACCTGCAGCTGGGCAGCTTTACGGTGAACAAGGTTGTCTCCGCGGCCGAGGGCGAGGCGTCCAAGATGAAGGCTAAAGTGCGTCTCAATCTGCGCGGCGTCTTCTCGGTGGTGTCCGCCTCAGACGTGGACCGCAAGCCCGACGGTCGACAGGCAAGTGCTGGGTGTGCAAACGATGGCGACCTAGTGGCGGCGAGGACGGCGAGTGGCGAAAAGGCACCCCCGACGAAGGGATGAGACCCCGACAAAGTGGCCGAGGGTGAGCCTGTCAAGAAGAGGGAGCGGCCCAGCACAAAAGAGAAGCAGGACAAGGCCACGGAGCTCCCGGTGGAGGTCCGGGTGCCGCAGCTGAGCGCCTTCGAGATGGACCAGGTTGTGGAGCGCGAGGTCCAAATGGTCCGCACGGACCGCATAGAAAAGGAGCGACTGATTTGTCAAGCAATAGTTATTACTTCGTCGCATACGTGAACCGAAGTTTTTTGTGTTTTTTTCACATGCGTTGTAGTTGCAGAGTTTTTTTTTTTTCTTTTTTGTATGATTGAACGGGCTGTTGCGTGTTTTGGGAAAGTAGACTGGCCTAGAGAGAGCATATGTTCCGCATACGGCTTTGATGATTTTTTTAGATGCACGTTTCAGTCCATACGATGCAAGTCTTAAGGCACTTTTGGCAGCAACGGGGTGTTTAGAGCCTTGGCGGGCACGTTCAAAATCACCTTACCAGAGCCCAATAGACCAGTGCATGACGGGCAAACTTTTTTTGCTATTGCTTTTTTTTTGTGTGTGTGACAAGTTTGTGACATTAAGGCCTCAAAATTATGCTTTGTTGGAAAGGTGTGAGGGTCAACGTAAACGGCAACCGAAAATCCAAAGGCGCGACCCTGCGTAGGCAGGGTTGCGCCTTTGGATTTTCCTGCATACGCAGGAAGGTTTCGTCTTTCTTTTTGTTCAGTGATGACTTTAAAGTGAGTGACGGCTCTGTGGCTTGTGCGAGACATGGAGGAAGAAAAAAGAAAAAAAGAAGGCGCCCGAGGATCGTGAAGAACGTCGGTCGGGCAACGATTTGATCTGTACTGTAAATAGACGTTTATTTGTATTGTTTCTCCTTGATGGAGTCCTGTCAGTCATTTTTAAGGCCACCAACATCCGCAGACCAGCGACGTTCTCAGTCATCGGGTCCCTGACGCAATCATGAGGAAAGAACCAACCTTCACTACATCCTAAATGAAAAAGGAAGCTGGATTGGGGATTCCATGGCTGCATACGTTGCTTGAGTTCAAGAATTAAATTTGAAAGAACATACTAGTGGTCTTTGTGAATGCGTTGCTGCAACAATTCGATCTTCCACTGGTCACCACACCGGCTATGAGGAACCCCAAAAGGGGAAGATGGCGGGCGTCAGCTGAAGCTCGAGTGTAAGCAAAAACTACAGATTGCATGCTTATTTGCAGATGTTCGTTATGTCAGTACTGTTCGCAACATAATTACTGCAGACACCGACCCTTCAATTGTTTAGCTTTGGATTTGTGTCCGGAAGATTTCAGTTCTTCAGCTGCATGAAGTGGTCTCCAAATCTACGATGGCCTGTGCATGCCAGTGGTGTAGAGAGCAGCTAGCATGGCGCCCAGCAGCGACTGTCTTCAAAGCAATTCCAGACAAAATACGCACGTCTGTTTGCCTGGCGCCGGTTGCAGGCCTGCCTCGTCCAGAGCCCAGTAAGCTACCCTCGGCACAGCAGGCTGGAGGCAGATTAGGCCAAAGTACATGTGCTCTGTAACACATCTCTTCTGCTGAGTCGCGACCTCTGGCGGACAATCGCGGCATCAGAGGCACTCCCTCGACGTCGGCATGACGCGGCACCGCTTACAGGAGCAGCTGTTTAGAACACAATAGAGAAGTTAAGAAACGTTAGGCGCACTTATTACCATGCTGTCGACGACAGCCGTCACCTGTCTGGGTCGGGACTTGGGTCAGGCGGAGCTGCCGAGTCCTCGGGGGAGAACTTCTCTTTTCTATGGCGATTTGGAGGCGCGGTCGCGTACGCCACAAGCCCAACTGACTTGCTATACGCAAGCTTCTTGCGCTCGACGTCGCTCAGACTGGCTGCCCATGCCGCCATGTTGGTCGAGAATTGACGAGAGAGCGGCGAGCGCTGGGAAACGAAAGCCAGAAGAACCCAACCGGAAACCAACGCCACTCGTAATGACGTCACAGGCGAAGCTGGTACCGCTTCAACGTTGAGTTGAGGGGTGCAAGAGATTTCAATCTCTCTCCTTTTTAGAGCGCAGCTCCAAGGCGTCCGTTTCCGGCTTGAGTGGCGTCGCCGTCGCCGCCGCCGTCGGCGTAACCGCGCGTTGCATTATGGGACGTTTCCCACAATGACGTCACACGTGACGTCACACGGCGCCTAAATTGGGCGGGAACTTTTTCCGCTATATTTAGTGAGAAATCGCCCCACTAAATTTAGCGGAAACATTTTCCGTCAAAATCGGCGGGGAATTTCGTCCGCCAAATTTAGCGGGAAAATTACACCGCCAATGTTTTCTGCAAAATTTAGCGGGGAAACGTTTCGCCAAATTTAGCTGGGAAATTGTTCCGCTAAATTTAGCGGGGGAATTTACCGGGGAACCGTCCCACATTTTTACAGTATATTCACTTCCGTACCCTTCCCTCCTCCTTCTCAAGGGCTGTCCTCTAATTCGGCATTACAAAGAATTGTAAACGTCGTTCATTTTTCAAACAAAAACTAGGGCAAGCAGGAAATAATAGTTTTCGGTCCTTCGTTTTGTATGTTGCCGGGAACAATTTCGGCTATTAAATAGCCAAAGTCCGCAAATCGTTGTACCCCTGCCCCCCCCCCCCCTTTCCCCCCTTTAAAACCGCACGTCTGCGCCAGCTTCTTGATGGCAACGGCAAAGTCCGCGATGCTCTTGTAAATTATCTTGCTTCCGCCAGTAGAACTTTCTTTAGTGACTAATCGCTTTGGCGCGGCGTGACGCTTCAGCGCATCGGAAAGCTCGTGGTACATCCAAGGTATATGTATGGATGGTAGCGAAGCTTCGATAGAAGCCTATAGGCGCAAAAATGGCGGCTCATGGGACGCAGCGCCATCTGTGAGTTGCGCGGCATTGTCATTAGTCATGATCGCCGGTGACGTACAGAAAGTGACGCTTTATTAAGAAAAACAACAAAGAAACACGATATGACGCAATTTCCGCAAGATTCTGATGTCACGATTGTTTTTTGGCGCGAAATTTAAATGTTTTTTGCCGGTGGCGCGAAATTTAAATGATTTTATTTTTTTCAGATGTTCTACATGCCTGCTACCGTCCTTCATACCTTGCTTCACGCGTAGTAGCCTTGTTTGTAACAATCACTCCCATGTAATCCCTCTTCCAAAAAAAAATTTTTTATCAGTTCTGGGAACCACCAATAAGTTACTACTATCTTCTCCAACTAAGCAGTTTGTTAAAGCACGCCTATGAAGGCATACTTATTCTTGTAACAATGGCTTGTTCGCCGAGAAAGACAAAAAGGCACAAGCTTGTCTTACACAGTTTTTTTATATACAAACTTACAACACCACCACTGAACACTTCAAGGCAGATATGGCGTTAAGAACGAAGTGAAATGAGGTCCGGGCAACTCTATGCACGCACTTAATACTCTCAACAGGAGGCACGTTTACGCATTTATCTTGCACTGTACACATTGAGAGCTCGTTACTGGATTTAACTATATCAATCACACGTGGAAGTGCGGGGCTATGCATGTATTTTGCTTTTGAGTGTCCACATGAATTAATGCTTCAACAGATTGAAAATTCAGACCTTTCGTTATAGTACATGCGCTCGCCACAAACGTAATGTGATCCACAGCTTGCCTTCTACCTGAGCGTTAGTACGCAGCCAACTGCCACAAATTGACAGGATAAAAAGCATTAGAAAATAGATTTTTCTTTTAAAATTTAAAAAAAAGCATTAGCTTTAAAAAAAAAGCATTAGAAAGATAGTTCGCGATGACGAGCTATTTCCCGATCACCTTAATCTCTGTATCTACCGAAAGGACAGGCCACACCAACGCGGTGGTGGTGTTCTTATCGGAGTCAAAAGGCATATCGCTTCGTTCTGCATTCAGTTACAATGCAGTTTGGAAATTACTTGTGTCTGTCTTTGTTCGGCTATAATTAAAACTGTACTTGTTGTCTGCTACAGACCCCCGAAAAGTGACTCTGCATTCACAAGTGAATTGCATAAAGACCTATTGGAGATAACTGAACGTTTTCCAAAAGCGAACCTTCTGTTATTCGGAGATTTAAACTTTCCCAACATAAGCTGGTCAAGTCTAACAGCCGACGCATCACGTGATTCTCGCGAGTTTCTGGAACTATGTTTGCTTTTTAATCTAACCCAGGTCGTTTTGAGCCCAACCCGTGGGGATAACATCCTTGACCTTGTACTCACGTCCTCCCCTGATCTTGTTCGATTCGTTACCTACAGCAATGGATTCAGTGACCATAAACTTTTGCACATCTCGCTGTCCCTTCCCATTTTGGTGAAGATGCCTGTCAAAAAGGTGATACATGACTACGGTATAGCAGATTTCGTGTCAATGAACAGAAATTTGACCACTTTCTTGCAGTCGTACCAAATCCATTTTAATCTAAGGAGTGTGAATGACAACTGGATTTTATATAAAAATGAATTGAATGACCTTATTCAGGCATTTGTACCTACTCTGCGGATCCGAAGTGATGGTTGCCAGCCCTGGTATAACAAAAGACTTAAATCACTTGGCAATAAGAAAAAACGCCTCTTTCGCAAAGCAAGACTGACCAGCTGTTCAAATATTTGGGAGAAGTATTATAATTGCCTTAAGGATTATATTCATCTAATAAAAGCTTCAAAGAGAAAATATTTCAATCAGGACCTTCCAACTATCCTTCAGGACAACCCCAAAAAGTTTTGGAATATAATCACGTCAAAAAACAACAATGATATCATTCAACTTGTCGATGAGGGTGGCAACCCAGTTGAGGAAAAAATGTGCTCAGAGGTAATGAATACCTTTTTCGCATCCATCTTCACGGACGAGTGTCCTTTAAATGTGCCTGAGCTACCCGCTGTTCACTACGAGCCCATGGCCCCTATCAACGTTTCATCGGCCGGTATTGCCCCTCTTATCGATGGGCTCAAGCTTTCATCATCCTCAGGGTCAGATAACATATCATCGAAGATTCTGAAAAATACTAAGATTGTATCTAGTGATATATTGCAACTGATATTTAATCAGTCACTATCCACAGGTTGCCTCCCATCCGATTGGAAAGTAGGTAGGATTGTTCCAGTCCACAAAAGTGATGATCGTTCCTTGCCTTCTAACTATCGTCCCATTTCACTAACTTCCGTTCCATCTAAACTTCTTGAACATATCATTTATTCGCATATAATGTCGCATTTAGATTACAATGACTTCTTCTACCATCACCAACATGGCTTTCGCAAAGGTTACTCTTGTGAGACGCAACTCTTTGAATTTACACATGACCTTCATTGCAGCCTTCAATCTCGCAACAAAACAGACGCAATATTTTTAGACTTCTCCAAGGCATTTGATCGTGTCCCACATATTCGTTTAATCTCTAAACTTTCTCGCCTTCATTTAGACCCCCACCCCTACTGAAAAAAACCATTTGGCGCCCATATGAAAATAAACGGGTCCATACCGGTAACCGTTTAACCATACTGGTCACTAGTTTGTCAAAGGGGTCGCCCGTATGGCTCAAAGGGGTCCCCCGTATGAGCCATAACGGTCACCTATTTGGCAAACGGGTCGCTCGTCTGGGCAAATGGGCGACTCGTTTGGGCAAAGTTGTCGCACGTTTGCTCAAACCGGCGACCATGTTGCAAACTGCACCGGTTTAATCAAACGGCTCTCCGGAGCCCGTTTGATATTGAACGTACAGATCGGCGGCGTGGGCACGCCTAGCGTTTCAGCCGTGGCAGCCAATGTTTTCCGGAAGGCTGGGAGCGCCGGTTCATCGATTTCAGATCGTCCGCGTAATGCAAGTAATTATATTTATATTTCAATTGCGCTGATTTTCGATTATACTACAACTAAAACTAACACCTTTTCTTTTTTTGTTTTACGTAAACGCGCGACGTTGGTGAGCCGAAATTTTTGACAGACCTTTAATACTTTGTCCATCTTTGTTGCCTCAATTTACTTATTCAGCTCGAATCTCTCTCGCAGAAGACGTGACCGCGTGAAAGAATGTGCGTCTAGACTCCGTTTCACTTTAATTCAAGACGCAGCGAAGGTAGCACGCGTACACGCGGCTGCAAGAACATCGAGCATTGCGAGAGCACGCCCGCCGTTGCAGCACTCAAACTACGAGCTTGCGCTGAGTTCTTTCTTCGCTCGGGCGCAAGTCGAGCTTCTGGCAGCCCCGCCGCCATTTCCAAAGTTCGAGCGCGCGCGCGCGCGCGCGTTTGTTCTTCGGGACTACAAAAACGCACCTCCCTGGAATGCCTGGGGAGAGGGAGAGGGGCTGTCCCAGCGCCTTGACCTCGCCCCCTCCCTCCTCTCTTGTCACCCCTGTCACGTGACCCACAGCAGCGCGCGAGCTACACGCTGATAAGCATCGAGATCCGGAAGGGCGCGCCTTGCAGCCGCTTTTTTCTTTGTCTGCTTGTTGTCAGTTGCTGCTCGAAGTTCGCTCGTCCTACCTGCTTCAATCTGTCGCCTAACCCTGCGGTCTTATTGGGATGTCTCTCGACAACGTATTGGATGTGCACCAAAGCTATCAGTGTTCGAAAAGACCCACGTGTATGTCGGCAACGAGCGATTCTTCAAAGTCGCAAATTCTCGCGGTTTGGTTGGGTTCGGTAAATGACAGCTTGTGCGCCGCATCGTGTTGAAACTTCCAAGAAGCCGTTCCCTCTCGTTTGTGTTTGTGTGGTTGTCCTGCTTTGACCGTGTCGACAAATATCACGGATTACCTCTTTCAAGTCTGCTATTGTTATGGTAAGTGCACTGCAACCTACGTGTTGGCAACGATTGACCGTTCTTCTATGCGTACTCTTCTAAATTATCTAAAGAATTATGCAGCGCCTATTCGCGCGGCAGCCAGGAGAATAATTTCCCCGAAAGTCTACCTGTATACACTCCGTGCGACGCGACTGGCGCGCCGCCGCGCGGCCGGTACCGAAGGTAGGCAGCGAGAACCCCAGAGAAAACGAAACCGAAACCACGCCGCGTACGTTGGTACGCATTGAAGTCGGAGTGGTGCGGTAGCGCTGGGTTCACAGCATGAAGCTGTGCTGCGTCATTAAGTGCTTCAATAGTTATGCGTCGTATCTCGTGGAGACAAAGTTTCACAGTTTTTCACCTCGCCGATGTTTTGTGGGACAGCGACAACGATGGAACCGTGCCGTACGAAGCGAGAAATTTGGTGTCCCGATCATGTCTGCCACTGTGTCGGCACGGCTGACATATTCTACACTGCCGCTTTGCGCTCTGCGTTTGTTTTCGTACCAGTAACGCCTACATGTGTCAGCGCCGATGGGACGAACCCACACTCGCAGGTATGCACTGCCAATTTTGTTGGAGGAATGCCCTCCAAAGAAGTTCCGTCCCCATCGTACGTGTCGATGATATTTCCGGACAAGTATGGCACGAAATCTGTACTTTATGAAGAAAGATTCGAAAGGTAAAAAAAGTGACAAATATAAATCTAAAAAAATACAACAATGAAACTCGGAATCACTGGAGAATCGACGTTTAAGTATGAAAGTTTATGTGGTGTGCGTTCTTTCTTGACCAGCCTCCTTTTGGATGTGGGAACGCTGATACCCCGAGTTCTGTAGACAACATTTTTTTTCTCGGCTTTAGAGCCACCTATCGCAAAGTGGTTCGAACTGGAAGTACCGTCCACTGGTCCCTTCCCTGTAAAGTGTGCACCTCCCACGATGAGTGGTATTATCTGACAGCCTTTGACGTTCAAAACCAGTTCCCATTTAGTTACGCCGCCCAAACTAAATTTCCACCTGGTTTCGCTATGAAAACTATTTTTGCTATAATATGTGTTGTGCCAAGTGACGGTCATGTCAAAGTACCTGTGCGCCGAAAATCAGCACCTCGCACAAGAGGTTATTACACAACAGCTGACCGCAAAAGCCCTTGGCGGCCAAACCGTGTGTTGGCCGACAACTTTGTTTTCTCGGCTTTGGAATCACCTTTCGTAAAGTTGTTTCAATTGGAAGTACAGCCCACTAGTCCCTTTCTACCTCTAACGTCTCCACCTCCCCGACCAGTGGTATTCTCTTGACAGCCTTTTCATGATCAAAACCGGTTCCCTTTGAGTTACGCCGCTCAAACCAAATTTTCACCTGGTTTCCCTATGCCACCTTTTTTTTTGTATAATAAGTGCTGTGTCATGTTACTGTCAAGTCCCAGCACCTGTGTGCCCAAATCTGCACTTTGCACAGCCCGCTATAACACAACATTTTGGGTCCAATATTGGATATCCCGTACAGCTTTATTTCTTTATTCGTTAGAAACATAACTTTCACAACTGCTGTCTTAAAGAAACTTGGCACTCTTCGTGCACAAACTTAGTGAACATCTCACTCGCCTCCAAATATCATCTTTGCAGCAGTCCTAGGTTTACAGCGACGAGCGAAATAAATTTCCCACTCAGAGCAATTAAGGTGGCGGCCGTCTTTGTTTTTCGGAAAATTACTCCAACTCCTTTTTCGGCCGCAACTAGAGAAATTACCCCTAATTACGACTCGAACTCAATATATAAGAAGTGGAGAACAGCTAAATGCCCTTCTGCCCCAGCACTCATGCAACCGTCACCCTCAACTTATCGGCTCAAAAATTAAAAGTTTCGTCCGTGCGCGCTTCCGCCGCCACAGCTTGGCACGCGAAAAGGCGCCGCAGGCTGCTGAACGCGCCTCACAGTCGAACGCCAGCTCCTCCGCTAGCGGCGCTGCGCGCGTTTTTCAAAGCGCCCCCTATAGTTCCCGCACGGAGTGTATAGTGTTCACAGATCGCTTGCACGTTTGTACTTGTCTACAGAAGAGGTAATAAACTTCGAGGAGAATTGAAAACAATCTTTTGTGTCGGTTTTCCTGTCCACTTACAAGCACCTACGCGAGTGCATTTGTTCTACGTGTTTTCTCCATGTTATAAATACGTTTATGAGTTTCGGGATGTCTTAAATATGTTTAGGATAACCAACCGCCCAGACGATACCCATTTAGGGCTAGCGCATAATTTGCCATTTCGAAGGGCACGTTCAAACGTGTGGTCACGTGCCATGTCGAACGGGTACTCGTACCATACGGCACCCGTATCAAAAGGGCACTTGTATCGAACGGGTACCGTTTCCAAACGGGTACCCGTATCCCATAATCACGTTTGATCCAAACGGATCGACAGGTTTGATTCAAACGGGCGACCAGTTTGCCACCCGTTTGAATTCCAAATGGTTTTTTTCAGTAGGGACGTCTTAATGTGGATACGTAATTTTCTTGACTCGCGAATGCAGTACACAGTCTTAAATGGGTACGAATCTGATTTAATTAATGTCACATCTGGCGTGCCCCAGGGCACAGTCCTTGGGCCTCTTCTTTTTCTAATATTTATTAATGACCTTCCAAATTCTATTTCTTCTCACATACGTATTTTTGCAGACGACT